AGCATCGTGAAGAAGTCTGACCATTGTGTTGGCGCTTGTTTGGCGACCTGAAGGATCCTGTTAGTAACAGCCATGGTCCGTCGTCCTGCTACACCACAAAACGCATATCAGAGTAAGAACGCTATCTGTGTTAGAGAAAATCTGCGGTTGCGCTCAGTGATCACTGCTTCTCAAATCCATTATATGTATGCTGTAACCAGTTATTGGCGTTTCTGACACACAGCGTCTCCTACATCATATGCGCGAATGCCAAGGTTTTTTTGTTACACCTTGCCTTCTTAGGCCCTTTACCATTCTCCATTAGGGATGAATACATCCTGTCGTTAACCATCCGTTACACCCCTCGGACCCCTTCCCCTCCCCGCCCCCTCAGTGTATGTATATACAGCGTCTTGCCCCGGTAACATTGAACCAGAACATTTGAAGATCCTTCCACTTGCTACCGTTGAAAATGTGGTTCGACTCTTGATGTTTGAATGAAAAACACTCACGTCGTGGGAAAAAGCAAGACTGCGTTGCTGATGTGAGCCTGTGGGAACGTATTGCTGTATAATATGGGAGAGTAGACGTCATTAGCAATTATCGTCCAATCTGCTTGTTGTCTGTAGTTCACAAACTTTTGCCAGACATCCCCAACCTGGACGAGTAGCAGCTGTTTGAGCAAGGTTCAGGAGGGATTTCATTACAATCGATTACATGCACAAAGTCATAAGACTCTTTTGAAATAAGGGATGCCTTTGTCCTACGAGGTGCATGCTGTCAGTAGCCGTTTCAATGATTAGCTGTTGAAAAATTCTCCTCTAATCAGTAAAAGTCGCAATCGATTGATCGAAGAGTAACGGGAAGAAAAGCGCCTATGGCAGAGTCTTTGCTGTGAACGCCACAACTTTTTCCAGTATAAATCTGTCTCACTGCATCTTCTGCTTCCCACACATCTTTGATCGGTTCTTCTGTAGTAGTTCAGGCTCTTGCAACAGCCACCTTGTAGGGGTACAAGTCGTTGTTTGACCTCTCACATAACTCGTTCTTGAAGATTAGTCATTCTAACACCTATATTACCTTCGTGAAGAGAGAGTACGTGTGACCTGAGAAGGGATATTCCTCCCTTCCCTTCAGGTTTTGGACTAACTCTTCCCTCGGCTACTTCACAATGTTTCTTTTGTCCGTTGCTTTCACAGTTATCTTTGATTTTTTTCCGTAGCGCTGGGCGAAGTGTCCGGTGCTCCTCAGTTTAGCTCGTACTTCTGCCTCTCTTCCCCATCATCTGCACTACCTCTACCCATACACGTCGTCACCCTGCAGATTCTGTTGCTACTCTTGGTGTAGCAAATGCTCCCGTAATCAGTGTCAGAGAAGGCGTCGATTGCTGTGAGTCACCAACTGACTTATCACCGTTCGCATTAGGGTATTCATAGTTGCATGTAGGTATAGCTTGAAAAAAGGGCTTCCTCGAAAGGTGAGGGCTTTATCTTGTAAAGAGTTAGCTGGAAAGAAAGCATTCCCCGAAACACAAGGATTTTGTCGACCATAGGCGCATTTTCCAGATTATGTTGTGTTGTCCGTAATAGTAGAGTTCGTCAGAAATAAATAACTTAATAACCGCCTTTGCTCAGAAATTCTCATACTACCATTTATCCTAACGAGTAGTCTCCAACTCCTCTCTTGCTCTAACCCCGGCATAATTGTTTATGATTGAAATATTCTTGTGCCGTGGACGCTATCCTCTTCTTCGAAAATTTAAAGCAACACGAGATAATTCGCACAGTATCCGAAAAGCGCACCACCCTCTCTGGCGAATGTGACGACAAATTCAAAACCCACAATTATTAATTGTTTGTGGGTTTTGCATTTGTCATCGCATTCGCCGGAGGGTGTGCTGCGCTTCTTGGATACTGTGCAAATTATTTCGATTTGCTTCAGGCATCTGAAGAAGACGACAGCGTCGAAACATTAGGCCGCTGACTTAATAAAGTGTTCCACCTAACAACCTTGCACGGCATAAGAATATTTTAATCATAACTACTACAAAAAACAGTTTTCCATGTCATTGTGATTCAAAGTAAGAAAGAAGCGCACTCCGGCGTGCGTAGGACGACGTGGTTAGTTATCGTTATGCCTAATACAAAACACCATTCCCGAGAAGAAAAAGGAGCATATATTCAACTTAACGTAGAAATCAGCTTCAAATTTAGATTCCTCACCGGTGCTCATAACAGCAGTATTAAACCTTTAGCTCTAGAATTACACTATTTCTAAGTTTATAAAGAAGCACATTATCAATTACACTAGAGTAATACAAAATAGAAACAGAACTATCAAAATATACTAGTCTATAAGTAATATCAGTATTAGTAATGAACTTAGTTCTCAGTTCATGACAATGTAAAGCCATACACTGCTGATTTTACGGATATGTTTACAAATCTATACCACATTCTCATTATCCTTACTATATATAAAGCGCTCTGTCTGTCTGTTTGTACGGAAATTCGATATAACCTGAAGAAACACCTGGAGAAGTCGGGTCAAGTTTGGAATGGNTTCAGAAACGTTCTAGAACGCGGGAAAAAAGTGGTAGGGGGAATTGGAACAAACGTAGTTAAGTTCTCGAAGGGGACGGAGCTGGCACTTGGAGCGGGGCTAGGACCANNNTGGGCGGTACTTTCCGCAGAGATTCATAACTCGATTCAGCGGAGGCGTCCAGACCGGAAAAAAATAAAAAGAGTGAGCAAGGCCTCATGCGTGCTAGGCATGCGTAAACTTAGCGAAGCCCCGCCCACGATGGGCGGGGCGTGCGTTGAGGTGGATGCTACTTTTTTAAAACGACTGTAACTTCGTTCAAAAACCTTCTATAACGTGGGAAAAATATGGTTAGAGGTAATGGGACAAATTTGGTCTAACAGAGTGGGCGGGGCTAGCACCAAAGTGGGCGGGGCTTAGATCGAAAATCCATAACTCTGTTCAGAAACGTTCTAGAACGTGGGAAAAACGTGGTAAGAGGTAATGGAACGAATGTGATCAAATCCTCGAAGTGGGCGGTTCTGGCACCAAAGTGGGCGGGACTTAGATCAAAATTCATAACTCTGTTCAGAAACGTTCTAGAACGCGGGAAAAAAGTGGTAGGAGGAATTGGAACAAACGTAGTTAAGTTCTCGAAGGGGGCGGAGCTGGCACTTGGAGCGGGGCTAGGACCAAAATCTCTTTAAAAACTTTCTGAAACGCGGAAAAAATGGTTTGGAGCAGTCAAAAGAAGGGTGGTCAAGTTTATTGTGGGAAAGGTTTGCACTAAGGTGGANTCGAGCGTGATGCTCTCAGCAGTTCAGCGTTCGAATCTAGAGAGAACTATCTTATTCTGATTGTCCAACATTCCGCTGTATGACTCCATCGTGGATAAGTGGCCGTCGACATATACTGCGCACGTTAGCGTGCATAGCCATGGTGAATAATATGTTGGAGCTACTTAAAATGCTTTAGTAAGGCTAACAGTACTATGATAGCAACTAACGGGTATAACGTTTTTTATAAAGATGGCACAGATATCAAAACTAATTGCAGATACTATAAGATTCATGACTTGCTTTTTTATGCGGATTATTTATTATATAACAGTTTCTGTGTTTTTGGAAATAATATTTATAAACAGATAAAAGGTAAGCCATAAGGAGGCAACTCCAGTCCTCTTCTAGCGGATCTGACACTTTCAGTAATGGAATATGATTATTCAAAAGATCAAAGATTCAATAAAAATGAGCTATTCATTCCAGTCAGATATAAGCGATTTAAGAATAGTACGTGATTAAACTGAATCAGATATTGAGGAGCAATTTTCTTCAACATATAAAAATACACCTGAACTCAAAAAAATACATTTGAGTGGTAGAAATAGTAATTATTCAGTCTTGAATATTATTATAACCGATGGTAAGATAAGTACCAAACTATATAATTAAACTGATGATTTCGGCTTCATTGCCATCAGATTTCTTCACTGCAATACTAATATTTCCAATACCATTAAAGCCTCTGTTATATACACAGAGGCATTGAGAATGGCTAATACATGTTCTAATAGAGAAACATTTGCCACTAAGTTGAAAGAGATGATGGGTATTCTATTAACAGTTGGATACAAAGAAGAATTCGTAATTACAAGTATA